GACTTTTTGACACCATAGATAACAGCTGCATCAATAAAAGAGGAAACTTGAGATTAGTCATCAATAGAACTGCTTTGTTAAAAACAGCTTTGATTATTCAGACAAGTATTCTGACGTTTATTTTTCATTACAAAACTTTCTGAACGTAGAGGAAAAACACTTGTGGATTAAAATGAAATATTCAGATTTTAAGTTTATATCTAGAATGTTTATTAATAAAAGTAGATTATATTTTATTGTATTTATATATCGACTCGATTTATCCTTTTATCATATTTTCTACAATAATTCCTCATAAAAATTAAAATGTAGACTTTTTGGTACCAAAGACAACAGCTGCATCAATAAAAGAGGAAACTTGAGATTAGTCATCCATAATACTGCTTTGTTAAAAACAGCTCTGTTTATTCAGGCACGTGTTCTCAAGTTTAAGGGTGAAACGATTACACGTGTAAACGGCGACGTTTCGATTATATGCTCTAAACGTTTACAGTTTGAGTAAACGTTTACACGAAGGTCATTATTAATGTCTATCAGAAATAAAGGTTAACACAAACAAATTGTTTTATTTCATAATTTACAAAAGAAAGACCGTCTTTGACCATTTGATAAGCATCTAAACCGGAAACATGTTGAATGAAAATATCTAAAACACAATACGGGCTAACATAATTAATTCCGATTTCCGAGTTCCTAAAACTAGCGATGTTTTAGGACACTTGAAATATAAAACTTGATATATTTTGATTAAATAAATATAATACATTTTTCACAAGTCTTTGAAAAGTTTCAATACAGTCAGCAGGTCTTGTTTTACTTTTTTCGAGATTAAAAGATCCATCTTCCGGTAGCCAAACAAACCAAGCAGTTGGGTGACGAGATCATAAGTGAATGAATTTAATGCGCCTCAAATTCTTACTGTTAAATCACAATAACCAACAATAAATTTTTAATAACAACTCATATTTTTATTAAAGTGAATGAATTCATTATTAAAGTCGAGTTTCATGAGTAAGTAGCCATAAAAATCCAACATAGAATATCTCCCGTTTAAACGGTACCGTTTCGTTTACTGCTATCAGTTTAAACGTTTACAAAATTCAGTAAACGTTTCAACCTTACTCAAGTTTATTTTTTTTTATTAAAAAAAACTTCCTGAACGTAGAAAAAAACACATGTTGTGGCTTTGAATAAAAAATTCAAATTCTCAGTTTATATCGAGGATGTTAATTAATTATAGTAAACTATAGTTTGTTGTACTTATATATCGATTCGAATTATCCTTGTGAACTCATATCATCTGAGTATGAAAATCAAGTCTCAACCGGGGCTCGCTCCAAGGGCCTCTGATCTACCGTGCCAGCATTCTGTCCACTGAGCTATTGAGACCTGATATATTTCACTGCCTCTCACGCACCTTTAAACCTAGTGACATTTAGATTTAAGATATCAGAGAGTCTGTCATGTCTGTTCCTATTTAACTTTTCTCTGACCATCGAGGATAAAGGCTAGTTAACAACTGAATAATTTGTCCTTGTTCTGAGAGGGATCATTTTTTAAAAGAAAATGACTTTCGGCGCGTGTGAATCATCACTAAAGGATGTTTTCTCCCTCATAAAAAATATCCTACCTCGTTAGGCATAGATGGCCCCATGCTTCCAAATATCTTTTATTGTCTTTAGCATAATTGGCAAACTAGGTTATAAATACAGAAGGCCTCACATGTCAGTGCCGCCCAATGACGTCAGACACAAACAACCGCACACAAAAAAATCTGCATATTATGATAAAAAATTAGGGTTAACAATTATAATTGATTGTATATTGTTTTAACGTTTCTCCTGAAAATTTTTTCACTCATATGGAGACGTCACCGTATGCCGATGAAGGGCTTCAAAAATTGACCTTTACTCCGCACTCAGGGCCATTGAGCAGTGAGGGATCTTTATCGTGCCAACGCCTGCCTCTAGCTGGCACGGGGCCTCGATTTTTAGGTCTTATCCGAAGGACCCGGGACTTTCACTTCAAAGTGCCGAGCGCATGGCGAAGGAACAGTTGCTAACCATTTTTCATCGACTTAGGTCAGTCGTGGCCGAGATTCGAACTTACGACCTCATGGAGCGAGCGCTCTACCGACTTGGCAACTGTGAACAGTATTGACCAATAATTAAATGAATATACAAGATGCTATATACTTGTATTTTATTTCAAAAAGATGACATTTAGATTTCAGTAAATGACATAGGAAAAATTTGTTTTATATATGAATTCGAGAGAAAAAAATTAAAGGAAGAACATTTTGATTAGAGAAAGGTTTAAGGTTACCGTATGTCATTCCTCAGTTTTTAGAAAAGTTCCGTCAGAACCTATTACTTCAAAACTACTAGTATTTATTATAATTCATTTTTATAACATAAAATAGTGTAAATTGTTCAACATTCAATGAAAATAAATGCTAAAAGAATCACAAAAAACAATATTTATTTATCTTATGGTATAAGGACATTGGGAGAAAATTCTGCAAATCTTAACATCTATGAAATTTAATATCTTGTACCTTAAGCCTCACATACTTTTACTCGGAGAAAGATTTCCGTTATTATATTCTAGGAATATTAGAAATGGGTCACAATATATATTTTTAGAAAAAAAAATTTACACATTCCATCGACAAATTTTGCCGAGAAATGAAAATATATGAAAGAAAGAAAAAAAACTCACAGTTTTTTTCTGATAATCGCATATTTTAACCAGAACATTCAACTATGTGCTCCCTAAATCCGATTTATTGCCTTACTCTCACGTACCTTTAAACTCATGGGCATTAATATTAAAAATATAGGAGAGTTTGCCTCTTATTCGACTTTTCTCTGACTATAGAAGATAAAGGATAGTTAAAAAACTAAATGATATGAGCTTGTTCTGAGTAAGGTTAAGTTTCAATGCGAGGCTTTTCACTGTTTTATGCCCTGTTCATCTTTTTTATGTTTAAAGGTTTATTTATATCAATTATTCTTCATTTTCTACACCCTTCGTCTTTGCAAATGATCTCACCCCTGATTATCTCAGAGATCCACATTCACATTCACTCTGCTCTAGGTTTCTATCACTTCCATGCGCTAATAAGCTACGTTATACAACGTAGGGACTGATTGATTGATTGTATATTGTTTAACGTCCCTCTCGAGAATTTTTCACTCTTAAAGGAGACACCACCACTTGCCGGTGGAGAGTTGCAAGTTTTGTCCTATACTCGGCACTCAGGGCCTTTGAGCAGGGAGGGATCTTTATCGCGCCAGCACCTACTGCGACACGGGACCTGGGTTTATACGGTCTTATCCGAAAGACCGATCTCCGCGTCCCACAGTGGGATCAAACCCGCGACTTAAGGATTTGACTCCATACTTCGCGACTCTAGAGCAGACGCTCTAACCACTGCGCCACGCGGGCTACTACAACGTTGGGAAATGTTACGCATTAATTTCCAATGTGTTTCCAATTATCGTTTATGTTCGAGGTATACATGTACCCGACAAATGAGAAAGTGATTCCTTTCATTTACATTTCTGTGTAATTTTTTTTAAATATAGATTTAAAAATATACTGCTGTATATATCAGAGAGTTTTTATATACACCAGGCCTCACGGGTTAATATGAGTCATACCCGCCCATATACGTAAGACAAAAACATAGCCATATTGCGAACAGTTGCATATAATTAGAAAAAATGCAGTTTCATTTAAACTTAGGGCGTGAAAAATAAAATTCATTTTATATCTGAATTAGAAATTTAAAGATACAAACAAAAGAAATAAGACTTGATACAAAAAAGATTAAATGATAATTTGTGTTATTTTTAACAATTTGCTTATATTTATTAAAGCAAAAAGAAATAAAGAAGTAAGATTCTCTATTATCTAATTGGAAAATATACAAATTCGGTAGTATTTATTAAACATTCGTGGGATTATTTGTCATATATACGTTCAAACATAAATCAAGTTAAAAAGTGTTGTACAATAATTTTCACAATAATGTTAACAAATTTAATGATTAAAAAAATGCCAGATAGCAAGATTTGGAAGAGTGTCCATTCTCAACTTTGTTGTTCTCTGAAGATAGTAAAAAGGCGTTCTTTCTTTCTTGATAGGGAACATTGATAAGACTGTAGAGATCATACATAGTCTCCCCAGTATTTGCCACGAAATATCTCGGAGGTCAGGAAAAGAGGGTATATAAATCTAAAATATAAGTGTCATACAATAAATTATAACTATTAGATAATAAATTCACTAATTCAAAACGTCAGAGGGCTGCAATTTGTAGGTACTAATTCTTAATTTTGCTGCTTCCTGAAGCTTGTGAAGTGGTTTTTGTTGTAAGAAATATTGATAAGATTGGAGAGATCCCGAATAATCTCCTAAGATTTGTTGACAGATTCCCAGTATTTGCCACGAAATGTCTCTCGGGTAAGGAGGAACATGAACCTCGTTATCATAGTGATGCAGAGTCTGTAGATCACAAATAGATTGTCGTGACGTCACAGTGTTACCAGGTCTGTGGTGATTTAGAATTAATATCATATGTAACATTACTAGAGATGGGATGTCTAATTTAGGCATACCATGCTTCTTACTGATCTCCTGTTCTAACAAAAGTTCATCAATAGAAATGTATAAAACAAAAAGCTTAAGATCTCTCACAACAGCTTTTTGCATCTTAGTACCCAGGGTGTTCCTTTCCATGGAGTGTCTATACATTTCTACGTTAACATGATCCAAATACATGATATACGGCAATGACATCCTCTCCTGTGCTTTATGTAAATAACGGAGTGAATGTTCATATCTACGTGTTTTGTAAAAGTGCATAGCAAGGTAGAGAATGTCTGATACATATCCAAACTTACTTGACTGTTTTAGCACATTACATCCTTTATAAACTTTGTAGAAAACTTTATTGCGAGTTTCCCTCTGATTTAGTCTACTCTGTATGAACATGGCAGTACACAGGGAAAAGTGGCTCGCATGATTTTCATGCGATTGCCTTTTCGCATGAATTTCGTGCGAAAATCATATAAAAACCATGCGAAAAGTTCCACATGCGAATTTCATGCGAATGTCCTCATATAATATTTATGCGAAATTCATGCGATTTTCATGTGACTAAAATTTCGCATGATATTCATGCGAATTCCAAATTAACAGTTTTTCATGTAAAAATTGTGCGAAATTCTCATAAATATTATGCGATATTCATATACACAAGAGAAAAGCAATGAACAAAGAAATTGAACATTTCAATATTTATTTAGGTTTTTCTGCCACATCAAGTGATACAAATTGCCAGTCTCTGATATCATATTGCTTGGATGTTCCTGGGTAATCCATTGACTTTAATGATTGTTGTGTTTACAGGCAGTTTTTCAGTACGTCTTTCTTTCAGTCTTGTGTCCTGACAACTGTTTCCTACAAAGATTATTAATTAATTAATTAATTAATTATTTAATTATTATATTAATTATTATAAAATACTATTACCCATACTAATATTCCAATTGTTTAGGTCAAAGGGACCAATTCCTAGATTAGGATGACATTAAATACAATAAATTCAATGATATCACTTGAAAAGTCCATGTTTTGGCAACTTGAATTACTGAGTACCGTATAATCCCTATTAACCGCCCCTGCCCCTATTAGCACCCCTTGGGTATTTTTCAATTGTCAGGAAATAAGGGCCCCCTGTACGGTGATTAAAACCATCTAGAATCATATAAAAAAATGAAAGTAAAAATAAAGCTTGTCTATTAACCGATTTCTCAGTGGAAAATGAATATTAATTTAGCATTTGGTTGAATTATCTTAACTTTCAGTAAAGTTAGAAATTATTTTAGTGGTTCTTTGTATTCATTTTTTATTTTCAAAGGATTTTTTAAGTTAAAATATGACATTAAATATCATAAAGACTATACCAAAATAACCGCCCACTTTTTGCAATTTTCTAAGCGCCCGGGGCGGTTTATAGGGATTTTACGGTATGTTAAATGGTACTATATGTTTAGAGCGAAACAGAAAAGACCATGTGTTTAACAGATTCATAACTGCATATTAGACTTTAAAGGGATGTGTCAGACACCATACAGTGTGTTATTGACCTAGCGACTCTAGCGGGCTGCTTTTGAACCATAAATGAGATAAAAATTTTCATTTTAATTGTGATGTTCCAATTGGATGACAATAAACATGTAATTGATGAATTTTTAATATATTACAGACAACAGTAAAATACTGAAAAGATTGATTTTTTTAAAATCTGCACAGAATAATTAGAATACCTCAACTGTGAATAAATCAAATGCAATATATAGTTACACTTTTTTTGCATGGACCTCAAATTAATCCCCTAGAAGATTGAACCTTTTGTTTGACCTATGTCTAAATTATTTTATGGGATACACTTGGTCTATAAAAGTTGTGTTTACATGTGTCAGAACAAAAACACTGTCTGTGTGGTGTGTTCTGACACATATGTAGAAACTTGTAATGACAATTAGTTTAAATAAAAATAACCTTAAATTACTTACTCAAAATTTAGTAAACCTTCATATAGATGTCACTAAGCATAAAAAGGACCAGTCGATTCACCTGACTGCGTTACGTAGAATCTGAAATGAGAACGCAATCCGAATTTACTCTGAAAGATTTCGTTGCAAGTTGAATTATCAATAAAAATGTGCATTATAACCACAAAATATGACAAAAAATCAACAAAGCATACATATTTACCATTGTTTCAAAGAAGTATATCACAATCAGCCAAAAGGAAAGTCTAGAACAAACCATAGAAAGGAGCTCTTGCTGACTCGAATTTTTTTTCTGTAACAGGAAGTGCAAGTAGAACCTGGCTAATCGGTTTCGTATTCATCCAAGAATCGGGAAATACCTTAATCTTTGTAATATTAGTCGTTCAAACTTTTATCTTAAAAATGCATCTCCAAGACGAACGCAGATGACTAAGTGATATAAATTTACTTTATGGAACCAAAGCTAGTTCTTTTATGGAATGCCGTACGTCACAAATTACGTCATCATGCGACTTAGAAAGCAGAAGGAAAGAAAGAAAGAAAGAGCAGAATGTTTTCAACTCCATATTTTCTGTAAGTTTGTAAGATTCTCATCTTCTTTTTACATCAGACGGATGTAATAACTTTATTTGGGAATATTTGTTGACAGCTTAATAACAGATATGAGATTCAAGTGGATCTAACATTATCTATGGTAACGCATAACGTTATGTGTTGAAAATGAAAGATGGGCCTAGTACAGGTTCTCTGCTTTTCTTACAATATTATTGGCCTATTGATAGGCCTAATGTTTTAATGTGTTTTTAATTCCTGTTGCATTGGGATCTAGTATATAAAATTAAACTGCAGCAATCAAATAACACACGTAGCATTGGGGGTGGGGGGGGGGTAGATGGAATGTTGATGTTCTATCGTTAAAATGATAAAAATTTATTAATGTCCTACGTGCCCGGTGAGGGCTTAAGATTATTCTAACTACGGCGGTTAATTGCAACCCTCCCTTTTGGATTTGCAAAAAAAAAAAAGGAATAAGAAGAATTAAGTTCCAAATTTTTGTTTGTTTGTGTTTTTACCATAGAAAATGTTCAGTGAAAAGCTAATGTTGTAGGATAGGATTCTCAGGTTCTGAGATCAATATTTTCCTTTCTTTTTCAAAAACTTTTCAGGTAATCCATACAAATATTTTTTTCTATCAACCTCCTCCTTTAAAAACCATACCCCACCCGGTATCCTATTGAGTTATTTAACAACATGCAGGTGTAAAATGTACATTATAATACCCCCCCCCCCCCTTTGAAAAAACCCTTCCACCCCTCAACAAAAAAAATTACCCCACTGTCCTGTCCACAAGTACCTGTGCATGTGCATTCCAAAATGTATGCAGATATAAAGAGGCTTACTTACATCTGGAATATGCAAGACAGAAAGTCCTAGTCACTTCCCTAAAATGAGTCGTACTGAACATATATTTACAAAATATTTATTAATTCGAAAATATTTATTAAATGTTGCATTCTATACTCACAGGTATAATTTGCTGGTTATAAGCAGATCTATGCACGGCACTCCATTATACCACACTGATAGCTTCTCAAAGATTATAAATATGATACATGTAAGCAGGTAAAAAAAAAATCTAAGAGAGAAATATTTTTTGCAGAGCCTGTGGTATACATTGTTTGTTATTACGTGTATAACAATCAATAACAATTTTGTTATTACGTGTATAACAATTTTGTTATTACATGTATACATGTAGCAAAACCTTAACCATTCAGCTTATATTTGCTTATCTTGCATTTCTTTAATGTAAATACATGTATATATAATCTTCGTTAATTTATAGAATACATGTTTTTAATTCAAATAAAGTGACAAAGAGATAATGAACTAAATGTTATTGAACCTACAGTACCTGACATTTTTTAGTTTCTCTGTATAGGCACAGTTACTTGTCATCACAAGATCAGATTTCAAGTACCAGAGTAGTCCTAACTCCTAAATTTTCCCAATTTGTCAAAAGTACATGTAAGTATTTTATAATATTTTTTGTTAGCTCACCTGAGCCGAAGGCTCAAGTGAGCTTTTCTGATCAAAGTTTGTCCATTGTCTGTCTATCGTCGTTGTTGTTGTCATTAACTTTTCACATTTTCGACTTCTTCTCAAGAACCAGTGGGCCAAATTCAACCACACTTGGCACAAAGTATCTTTAGGTGAAGGTGATTCAAGTTAGTTCAAATGAAGGGCCATGCCATATCAAAGGGGAGATAATTCAGAAATAATGAAAATTTGATGGTATGATTTAAAAATCTTCTTCTCCAGAACCACTGTGCCAGGAAAGATGAATCTTACAGAGAAGCATCCTCAGGTAGTGTAGATTCAAGTTTATTCAAATCATGACCCCCAGGGGAAGGGCGGGTCCACAATGGCCAATCAAATTTTTACATAGAAACCCTTCGGGCTTTATGGAATTTAATCTCATGACCAATTATGACTAAGCTGGGAATATTTCATTGAATTTTTCTCACCTAAGCCAGAAGCTTAAGTTAGCCCTTTTTATGCCCCCGTAAACAAAGTGTTGGGGTACAGTTTATAGTTTTTGTCATGTCCGTCTGTCTGTCTGTCTCTCTGTCTGTCTGTTTGTCCTCAAAAACTTTAACCTTGCCCATAACTTTTGATTTATTGGAGCCATGACTTTCATATTTCACATGTGTATTCCTTGTGACAAGACCTTTCTTTGGGTATTACCAAATTTGACCTCTTGACCTTGGAGTTTGACTCACTTTTACATGATAATTTTAACTTTTACTTTGGCCATATCTTTTGAACAGTAGACACCAGGAAATTTATACTTCACATGTATATTTTTTATTGAAAGACCTTTCACTGGAAACCAACAACCTTGACCCTTTGACCTTGACCTAGTAGATTTCTGTACCTGTGCAAAACTTGAACCTTGGCCATAACTTTTGAACGGTAAGGGATACGGTTTTCATACTTCACATATGTAATCCTTGTGAGAAGACCCTTCATTGGATACCAAGCACTTTGACCCTTTGACCTTGACCTTTGAGTTTGACCTACTTTAAAAAACAAGCCTTGACCATAACTTTCAAAGGGTTAGGGCTAGTGCTTTCATATTTTACATATTTAATTCTTGTGACAAGACCTTTTATTTGATAACAAGAACTTTGACCCTTTGACCTTGACCATGGAGTTTGATCTACTTTTAAAAGAAAATTAACCTTGGTCATAACTTCTGAAAGGTTAGGGCTAGGGCTTCCATACTCTACATAAGTAATTCTATGTGGCAAGACCTTTCATTGGATACCAATTAGTAACTTAACCTTTAGGACTTGACCTTGGAGATTTTTGTACTTATTGAAAAAAAAACGTTAATAATGGCCTGCTTTCAAATTTCACAATTGCTTTCCAGTGAGAATATCTTACTTTTAGTACCTATTAATTAAATTTGCATTTAAGAAAAGTTTAATCTTTGCTATGTTGTCATACGGGGGCATCAGTGTTTCACATACATATCTTGTTTTTGGTCAAAATTTGTTGAAAATTTTTCATTTTGATTTCATGCATTGTTGATCGAAACTTTAAATGCATTTTATAAAAAAAAAGTACAATTGTAAAAATACCAGCTTATAAAAAATTCTTAAATTTGTGAGATTCTCAATAATATGATACAATTCAGCTAGTGACACAAGAGAAGAATGTGGAGTAAATGCCAATAAAGGCTCGACTGCAGGGGTATACCTGACTTCTCGGCAATTTCTGGTTATCACCATCCGAATGACCGATTCAGAGGAGAAGACCAACTTCAAGGTCACTCTTATGCATTGGTAAGGATTGAAATTTAATTTCATTAATATGGACACTTGAGGGATGCAAGTGTCAATTTATTGTTATTTGTTTTTAGACCTATTGCTTCTCTTTTCATCAGTTGTTGTGTGTCCCATCAGTAACAAATTATCCATTACTGACTGAACCATTATCAACCAAATTTTGCATGGTAAAAGTGCTTCTTGATAAAATGCAAACAAACTAAGTACATTTAAAGTATATACTTATAATGAGTATTAAAGAGGTCCATTTCCAAATTTGTATATTACTTTGCCCCTGGGTACCCAGTAATAGGTTCTGATGTTATAGAAGACATATAAAAAATGCAGTTATTCTTTGACAGTCATCTTTTTCTGCTCCTAGGTACTCAGCAAATAAACTTATGCATACATATATTATTTTATCCTATGTTTACGCCTTTATATATGCCTATATGACATCTTAAAGCGAGGACTGAAATGCAAGGCAAACTTAAAGGTCAAGGTCAAAAGGTCAAATTGTTAGCATCTGAAGGAAGGTTTTGTCATAAGGAATAATTTAACCTGTGAAATATGAGAATTTTAGTATTAACTGTTAAAAAGTTATGGCCTAGATTATATTTTTTTAAAAGTGGGTCAAACTCTTAGGTCAAGACCAATTTTAAGGTTAAAAAAAACTTATTGAATGGTCTTGTCACAATGATTACAAAATAATGTGAAGTATCAGATTGATAGCACTAGCTGTTCAAAATTATTAGCCTAGGTTAAAGTTTAGGGATTTTTTTTGTAAAAGTGGATCAAACCCTAATATCAAGGTCAAGAGGTCAAATTTTATAGTACCCCGATAAAGTTCTTGTTACATGAAATACACCTGTGGAATATGAAGCCATAGCCCCACCCACTCATAAGTAATTTGTTTAAAGGTTAAATATTAAGACAGAAAGATGGACATAACAGTACAAAAACAATATAAACCCAACAATCTTTGATAACAGAGGCAAAATTAGTGCATAATATTTCCATGACGGTTTAAATAGTAAAACAGATTCAAACTTATTCCTTTAAAAAGTTGAACTTTGAAGATATAAAATTCATGACTAGTCTTAATAATATTTTTAGATTTATTTCTGTTCTTTGCTTTACAGAGATCTTTCGCTGATGGACTCAAATTGTTCAGGAAAAAATCCAGCTACCACAGCCACAGATTTCTGGCGTGTGTTCAGAGGGAACATAGATGCAATGGTAGGTAAATTTTGCTTTTAAATTCCCTTGCAACAGATACAAATTGCATCATCAGATATAGGTCAATGAAACAGAGACAATTATCTCAAGGTTTAATTGATACCTGACACAAGATTGTTTTTAAGTTTAAAGTCATTTGCAGGAAAATTGTTTTCATTTTTTGTCAATAATTTTATACTTAAGAAACATTATAATTATACTTTTAATTATAATTTATGATGTATGGTTTTGAAATCATTATAATTTATGAAGTATGTTTTTTTATTTTTTAAAGATCATTTACAATGTAGGCAATATAAATTCAACCTTTTAC